GGATTTTTGCGGTTTCAAATCGAATTTCATTAGCTGTTTGAAATAGCAGTGTGTTTAGGATATACTTGACATTTGAAATGATTTCCTCAGTTGGGATAATACGCGAAGCAATTACAAAGTTGGAACCTTTTGAAAGAACTAATTTTTCTGTTTCCGAAAGTGCGATGATACATTTATTACAGTGTTTTGGTAGTTGAGAAAAGTTTGATGGTTTTCCTAGTGTTGACGTTAGTTTTTCAAATTTCTGCAAGTCAGTTTCAGTCAAGCTTTGATGAAGCCAACGGGATGATTGGCGAAACGTCAGCAAAAACCGACGCAGGAGGAATCCAGAAGTTTTGTAAAAAGCATTACAGAAGCCTGTGGAAGTTTCTTTGAAAAATTATATTTCATTAGTTTTACTTATCGACAACTTATTAAATGATAACCAATTAGTAAACATTGTTCTCAATTACATTTAAGTTTATTTTAGAGAAATAATTCGGTTTTTATTAATTTTTGTTATCATATGTAATTGTTGTCAAATAGAATTTATTATCTACTATTCTTTTAAATAATACTCTTAGGACATATCGTGCAATGTTTTGAACAACTAGGTATATAATATAATTTTGAAGAAATTTAATTTGAAGAAAATAAAGTTTGATTTAAAGTGATGATTTCAATAAGAATTTTACCGATAAATAAAGTAATTAAACGACTAAACAACACAAAGCCTACAATTCTAATCTCCAGCATTATTTTTTATTATAAAATGCATCTACTGGCCACAACAGACCTGCTCAACAACCTCGTATCTAAAAACGTAACCTCAACACCATCTTTGCACTTTTGTTAAGTTCGAAAAACTTTGTTGTTTGTATTAACGAAACTCGCAAGATTACCATTTTATTGACTTTCAAACTAAGCTGAAATAAAGTCCCGTGTTATTAAGAATCAAGTCGCTCGACTTGCTTGGGATTTAAACTGATTAACAATTTGTTTTAGATAGAACAATCGATAAGAACGGTTTGTGGACGAGTTCTTTAATGTCGTATCTCAATTTTATTAATCTATCGGAAACGACTAGCAATTTTCCAATTATATATTCGATAACGTCCGCTTGTTTGACTTTTGTTACCGGAAAACAATTTAATTTGTTTGAATTCCATTATGGAAACTTCGAATGAAATAGAATTGGGAAGCTGTACAATTATATTTTAATATAATGCGCAAAAAACCGCGAGCAAATAATAACTGAGTATATTCCGGGAAAATATAACAAACACCCTGGGGATCTGACGGCACATATAAGTTGGATATTTGCATTTTCTGCCAATTAGATACCTTTGCAGCCCCATTTTTGCCGATTGCTATCGAAATGAACGGATATATCTTGCTACGTTTCCTAATAAGATATTGTTCTTGAGGCTGAAAGGGGAGATTATTAAATATTTGCTTAATGCTTGTCTGAGGACTACGATTATCGATTAGAATCTCGTGGAGTAATAGATATAAGCTTGTAAGGGAATAAAATGGGTAAATTTCATAATATCGAGATTTAGTTTAAAAACTGTAATTTTTGGTTGATAATTTAATTTTAATAAAATAAGAAGTAGGTATAGAAATATCTTTATTTAGTTCTAAATAGCATATCTTAACAAATCTTAATTTTTTTTCATATATTTTATGACAATCTACTTAGAAATTCACATTTTATAACGTTTTAAATAAATTGTTCTTCAGAACATGGTAGTATATTTTACAGGAGTATTATTTAAACAAAGACATAAAATACACAAATATTTATTCAAATTTAATGAATTTGGTTTCAAATGAAAAAAGACGCAAACTAGCAGAGGCGCTGTTTTCTAGTCTAATAATTATATGTTAATAATAATTTAAGAACTAGGAGACCTTGAAATGTTTCAATGAAATTTTCAAAGTATAAAAATTTATGTAATTTCCTCACTCTTTTTTATTTTACTTGCATTTTGGTAAATTAACGTACTTATTGCTTGTAATTTTATTTTAAATTTTAATCTATTATTAGGTGCAAGCCTGTTGGTTACTTCATTCATTAATTCATAACAAAACCACCGATATATTTCCATAAAATGAACTTAAATATACTTGAGATAAATAAATACCTATCGCTTATCATTTGTTGATAAGCAAAACGAAAGAAACTCCATACAACCAACAAATCAACAAACAAAAATTATCATATATTTAAATTATATTTACAAACTGTATCACTAAAAGCAGAAAATTGAAAATTTTAACGACATAAAAACCAAATGAAAATAGAAAAAGCGATGTGATCTAATTAGATAATTTAATGTTTAAGTTTTTGTATAATTTAATAGGTATATTTACAAAAATGTTGCTAATTATTATTTCCAAATCTGTTGAGAAATTTTTGAAAGATCTTGACAGCGACTCAGGTCTTTCCCTTACACAAATACATGAATCTCCCTCCTTTAAACGAATATATGCAGGTACATAGTAGAAGTTAAGCGATGCAGAAGGAATCCAGAAATATTTTTTGGTAGTGAAACTTTTAGTCACTAGTTTTATCTAATCATTGACGAATGAATAGTAAAAACAAAGCGAAAAACTCATTTGACATAAAAAATGGAAAGTTGAAAGCTAATACAAATTAAAAAGGGCGTAACAAAAATATAACAGGAAAACGATATGAAAATAATAAAAGAAATAGAATCTATTAACTTTTAACTAATTTATATACATAATTTACATACATATAATTTGAGTGAATTTTTTTTTTATTTAAATACCACAACATTATGATGTCATACAAATAGGGAAAAAAATTAACAATTTCCGTTATTATAAGGAAATATACGTAAAATACAAATAATAAGGAACAAAATATCTGGGACAAACATTGGATATGACGCTGTTAGGGAGAAAATCCACTCTGTCAGCATACAGTAATTGTGTAGCGAAAGCAACACCCAAATCATTCAGAGGTTCTAGAATAAAGTGCACAAGAGTACTCCTTTATAACACCAACCAGAAGGGGAGACTCTAAAGAAGCAAACCTTATGAGTTTGTTATTTACACTTTGCATGTTACAAATTAAAGAACTTCTACTGAGTAAGATCCTTAGCTTAAGATATAAATAGTAAATTAGGCTAGCACAAAATCCCCATTGTGCGTATTGAAACCATTTGGTGTATCACCACTGAACTAGACTGGTTTAGGTGTTTCCAACAAGCTATTAACAGCACGCTTTATCAAACCCAAATATTAAAAATTTAAAATAAATAAAACGTGTTTCCGCAAAATATCAATTGTATTTATGCGTAGTGTTTTACTACCTGAACAATATAAATATTTAACAATTATAGTTCAATATGCCGGGGACATCAACATCATAAAACCGTAGATTCGATAATATACAAGTCAATTAATGGCCAAGAGACGTTTTTTATTTCGGTAATTTTGATATTTTAATATTTCTGCTGGTCATAAAACTTTCCCATGAATAATTTTACGACTGCGTTTTCAATATGACTTACCATGTAAAGCCGCAAGGTAATATAATCGAACTTCGATAAATATTCCTCCAGATGGGCACTTTAAATGGAGAAAATACGTTTTAGGCAAATACAGTTCCACCGAAGGGGTTTTTTGGTAACTAAACCCGCCCTTATGAGCTCAAAACCACCACGGAATTACCTACACCAAATTGCAAGCTCGATATATGTCGGATTGTGGCGCGTTGTTTTATTAGCACGTAAATGGCTTCCAGTGGCGCAGCGTTGGCGTTTTTAATATGTTCAAAAAATCAAAATCGACAGATTTTACCGTTGACTAGATAGTTCCTGTTCCACTATACTCTGTTTCTCTCCATAGATTCAGAACTACCAAGCTATTATAAACTAAGTTCAATTTACGTAAATACATATTGTTTTGGTTAGTTTTGGCTTCTGAGAGGCTTTACAACTGGAAACAGATGTAAATTGTTTTGAAGAGAGAAGAAAAAGGGCGACCAAAACGGACAAAGAGGAACCAGCAGCCCTTAAAGACTTACAAAAGGGCACAAACATTCTCTCAGAGGACTAAGGCAACATCACATGATGGATGTACACAAAATCGAGGAGACACTTGCCAAAAGCAAACTCGACTCCTTTCTAGTGACCCTACTAGGACGATCGAAGGAAGAATCTATCGAGCACTGCATAAATCGAAAATCGACATTGTGGTATGCTTATGTATCTTGAAATTTTCTTTTCTTTTTCTTAACTAACTTTAATTTAAGTCGCTTTGTAATTACTGATATTCTTGATGCAAGAACCGAAATAATGACGCGTATTCTGAATTTAACTCCCATACAAGAACTATTGATATGCTCATCTCTGGAATGCACATTGAGGTTCTAAAAGCAGATTGTAAATAGAGATGTAAATAGACACGCGATAAAGATATTCCGGATAATATTAGAACCTTAACTCCGCATCATAGGAAACCACCATATCTTTATACACTTTCAAAAATCCACAAAGATAATGTACCACTCACACCTATCACCAGATCGAAGGATTCGACAACCAGCAGCTTAAGTAGATTTCACATTCAAATCCACCAGCGTGTAAACAAAAATTAAAGACAATGGCGGTTCGAGAATATCTTAGTTTTCTACTGGATGGTTGTCTAGCACCTTCAAACGAAGGTTTATTCTTTAGAATACCCAGAATGAACTTTCTACTTTACTGGAACATACATATTATTTCATATTGACTTTTTTTCTAGGGAAAAATTCTACATAGTGATGCGATTTTCGACCATGCATGTGGGACATCATTATTACATTAAGGGTTATTTAATATTAGGTGAAATAAATCTACTAGAAGATTGACTGCTTGTCACTAGTCCACTAGTAGATAAAAGGTTTCAAATGCAATTAACTATCACTATCACTCATACCACAGGAAAGATGAAAGATGAGAGAGAGCAACCGAATAACCAGGGTAGAAACAACCTTGAAAACTTACCTGTATATCCGAATCCACATCACAGAAATGGTCTATCACAGACCTGCAGATGTCACCATCCAAACGCAGCACTACCTGGAACAGAAATACGAAATAAGTATACAAATTGCTGATAAGAATTACTACAAACAAAAAAAAAAACTCGAAAAAACTGTGGATTTGATTGTTGATGCCAAAAAAGGTAAGATTCTTCCACTCCAATATGGATGCCAAAAAGCTGCAGAAAAAATATAATGCAATAAGCTATTATCTTGATTCGGGTTTAAAGGCTGTCGTCGGTTGGAATTACTTCCTAACGTTTCGCTAGCACGAGTGGCGAGCTTCTTCAGAGGTCCTTCCATCTCCGATGTAGTCTACGTCCAACATCGGAGATGGAAGGACCTCTGAAGAAGCTCGCCACTCGTGCTAGCGAAACGTTAGGAAGTAATTCCAACCGACGACGGCCTTTAAACCCGAATCAAGATAATAGCTTATCAACGGGCCGCGAAAGCCTTAACCAATTTATAATGCAATACTTCAGCTCTTTCAGGAAATATAAATACGCTATGGAAAAAACGAAAGGTTTTTTTTAAACGAAATATCGCAATCTACGGATAATGTTATGAACGATTTACGTTGGAATTGCTACCGCACCATATTCCCGGATCTCGCATCAAGTGATTATCTGTTTTCAGATTTGAACAACCCCTACGAGGTATTCGATTTGTAAGTTTCATTTTTAATATATATGTATTATATATATTTAAATATTTTAAGGAAAAAAATCTACAGAGATATGTGTAAATATTTACCATTAGTTATCGGACATCCTATATAATAAACTTACCAAAAATGTCTAACAAAATTAGCCACTTTCATCAAGCGAGTCCCCATTTTCGCTACATTAACGAAGTTAAGAATTTCAGATACCATCTTGTCTGCAGCGATCGGTATATTTAAATAATAAATCATTTTGAGGTATAAAAAAATAATGAAATTACTAACCATAAAACTTAACAGAAAAAATGTAACGTGGGTTTGAGACCGAAATACACGCTGTTTCCAATTAAAAAAAAATTATAGCTAAGCCATGGCTTTGTAAAAATAATGATCTGTATTTTTTTATTACACAAAATCCGTAATAAAACAATATTATTTATTATCTTCTTGCTTTTCTGGGTGAGAGAAACGAAAGGAAAAAATGAAGGAAAATCACACATATAGCACAAAAATCAACATGTACGAAAAAGTCAGTTATAATTAAAATTTGTTTTCAAAACTGCCATTGAAACGGTTTTGTTTTTATTCTTCTCCTAAGATATGCACCTGAGGAATTGAAACTAATTTATGATGCTGAAGATATTGTAAGAGTTCTTCCATCTAACAGGTTTTGTTAGAATATTTCCTCATCTTCCACGTCTGCAAATTCCATAAATCAGTTTTATATGACAATTTTACACTTTTTAATTTAAACTAGAGTCCTAATAATGACCATAAAACCATCACCCAGCAATTTTAATTCATTATAAGGCCTAAGTTCCTTGAATAATTTTGGTTATTTGTAGCAATTGCCGCAACTAGCACCGTCTCTAATAGGTTGAATAGGATCATTGTTATTAAACAATTTGAAGCATTAATCTCACTAAGTGTTCACTCCAGCTACGATGGGAATACACCGATAGATGTTAATAATAATATTTTGAGTACATCGCGGTCTGGCTGACGTATACATTTCATTTCCATTTGCCTGTTTTGGCAATGGCTGCTAGCAAATGTAGTTATAGAAGGAACTTAATAGGAAATAACCAAGCAGAATAAAAAACAAGACGTCCTGAAGAAGTGAGTTAATATAAGCAAAAAAAAATTATTGAAAAAAGAGGACACTATCACAATAAAAGTGGCCAATTTTATTACAACAACAGCGCTTTGGGAAAAATTTTCAATAAATAATTGTGAACTTAGAACTGAATTTTGACAAGACCACTTCACCATTTCAATTAATAAAGCTGTTATGAATGGTAGTTCAGCTCAACTACTTGGTGTTGTTATCGACAGACTAAATTAGTCGGAACATATTGGTGAATTGATTTTAAAGCAAAACTTAGCAGTGGATTGTTCGTTCTGAGATGACTAAGGGGATTGATTCTATTGGTTAATTGATTCTATTCTTCTTCGTCTTTGTGTATTATTTTTAAATTGCAAAAACAAGCAATAAGAACTATTGCTAGAATTGGCTATCGTGATCATTGTCAGTTATTGTTTACAAGACTACTTCTTATGTTTGGTGTGTTTGGTTGTATCATATTCATAAAAATCGTGCATGTACACCAAATAATTATCTTAGCAGATTTGAATGTAATTTATTAACGATAGTTTTTATTTTCACTTGTATAATCTTCTGAGTGTCAACCTAAGATCGCTAGATGGTATATCTTTCTAACAGAGAGTTAAAGATTACCTACTACTTCTACTTCAATGTTTCTATACTAACTTTGAATTTATCGATAAAGTAAAATCTAACCCAGATCTCTTCATAGTTTACTGCTTTAATGTTCACCGCCACATTTGTTTTCATTGTGATTGATTGTTTGTTTCTTGTGATATTTTTGTTGTAAAATTTTGATTTGTTACAATTACTCTTTGTAACATGGTGTCAAAAAAGCTATAACTATAACTAAATTTGTTTAAAAGAAACGAAATTTTGTAACATTTCTTTAATTCCGTCTATTTTATATGTTTGATGTGAGCTATCCTGTAATTGCCCGCCCTCGTCTGCAATTGGGTTTGTAAATAAATAAATAAATAACTAAAAACAAATCAACCCCTGTAATGAGGACATACAATAATTAAACAATAATACTAAATGCCGAAAATGAAATGCCTGGCAAAATTAAAGATTAATACGGGATAGGGCATTCGCCTATAAATCACATTATCTCCCGTAGGCGGGGGTAAACTATAAGAGAAGGGTTATCGGTTAAGCATTATGTAATAAATATTTCATGCAGCTGTTAGCTAATCCCCGTTTAAATGTAAAACCCGGTTTGATATTTCAACGTTTCGGTACAAGTCGATACAGAATTTAATAATAATGATAATAACGTTTGTTGCTAACAGCATTAAAAATTACAATTAGTGTAAGTAAATTAAGAGAACATGCAGCAAAGGGCTTGAAATAAATCGCGGCTATTCAGGCATCTGATACTGTTAAAGCCTCATTTAAAAAGAAAAAACATGTACCTGATAGCAAGCCTTATATAGTAGGTAAATAAACAAATACATTAATTCTTTGGTGTCTTTGATTTCCATAAATCAACCTCACGCATGTAAACATCAGAACAGTGGTTCAGCTGAGGTAACACCATAGAGTCGCAAAGCAGCCTGTTGGTCTCTTGCGATAAGTAGTATTTATAAGAATAAATGTGTTTTAAGGTACCACAACCTTTTTTTAGTTTTTCGTTTATATGCTGACGGAAATGAAATTTAGAATCCAAAAATAAACCCAGGCTTTTACTGGAATCATAAAATTGCAGGGAGAATCATTAATTGTTAAATAGAGCTGACTATTATTCTCCCACAAACAGCAAACCAAAAGAATAAACTCCCATACCCAAAAAAAAAACAAAAAAATTAATACGAAAATATAACAAATGGTGGTGTTTTTTATTTCCTTGGGTTTTAACTACATTTTGCAAAGCAAAAAACTAAATAAAAGGCACACAGTGCTGTCGGGATAACAAAACGTTTATAAACAAGCATTTGTGCACATTTTTATTTGAGATTTTGATAACGGCGTTTTGGTTAATTTGCAATTTGTAATTTAAATTGCATCCGAGTACAGTTCAGTTGATCGCAAAACAAGTCGGTTGAGATCAATGAACGTTTGAACTCAGCGAAATAAAACACAAGATAAATAATCAGGACATCGCAATATAATTTCTGCAAATTGTCTGCCAATTATATTACGCTCCGCTGTTAATTGGAGTAAAATAGTTTAAAAAATGAAAATCATGAATTAGCGTATACGAGCGGTTTTACACTCAATGTTCTTTATCATAATTTTTGCTGCTTTACACCACATGAAATGAAAATATTTAGAGTAAGTTTTGCTCCGTTTTAACTGTCGTTTGTCTATTTTTCACAATACAATGGGAAAAAATACCATTTGTCTAGAAAATCTTGAGACACTCTTGACCACTCGTCATTCGATAAATGGAGCAATCTTTGAAAAAGTATAAAACAGTATCACATCTTAATGGAGTATACCTTTAAAGGTCCCTTGTGCTACAATTGTTGAAATTGTGATTTCATGAATTCTCTTAATAAATTACGTGTGGTCAATAAACTAATTATGATTCTCCTAATTCAAATAGCCAAAATATAAAATAGTCATAGAAATACTAAAAGGATGTCGAACTTCCATTGTCTTTATTTTTAACTTATACAACGTTTCGGACAGTCGTATCACTACCCGTTATCAAGTGTAAACTGTCATAATAGTCATGCTTCACTAAATTTATAAACAGACGAATTGGTTTCCATTTATCCAGATAGTGTCTTTGTATACCTCCGGAATTCTCCATTTTCTTCTAAACAGTGTTTTTACAAACCTTTCTGATTATGTTGTTATGTTTATTTTTTTAGTGTCTCTATACATTTGATATGTATTTACAAATTGTTAAAAAAACTTGGTTGTATGGAAAATAAAGGTATTATTATGTTACTTACTTATGTTATGTTACTTAAACAACGTTAAATACAGGGTAAAGAAATGGACGAGAAGTCAACTATTAGAAAGACATCGCGCTATAAATATGGCGGAAAAATAATATTTTCATTTTTTATCTTACATCCAAAAATAGATAGAACGATAAAATAGTCATTATTCTTATTCTTGCTAAATAAATTTAAGGAAAAACTTAGGCAATGACACATGTACATTTCGGTTTTGGTTTAATTATAACAACAACCATAGGAGTATTATTAAAAAGCAACCCAATTAATAATGATCAAGCTTCTCCCATAATTAGCCGATAACGACAAAACGTACGTATCTACCTTCAGTTTCTTTGACGTTTCCCTCGGGTAAATTGCTG